CCCCCCCCCCACCCGCATTCCAGCAAGTCCCTGGGAGTGGCAACTCCCAGCTTCACTTTCTCCCTCTCTCCACGCAGGCCTGGGTGGCTTTGCTGCCAGCGCGCGGACTCCAGGGTTGCCCGCAGCAGTTCTCACCCGTTTCCATGGAGAACCCCCCCAAAGCAGAGGAGGGTGACGGCGCCCCTCCCCCGGGAGTCCGGGGCACACGCTTTAGCCTGCCATTCTTAACTTTCTTTTAAGTCGCAGGTTTTATCTTAAACATTCCTGGCCGTTTGCATCCTACTCCATCCCATGCCTATTTGTTTGAATATCAAATAATGGTTTTCCTACCGCATCCTCAGGTAAAAATGTTAGTCAAGTAGGGGGATGTATTGCGTTTAACCTGTGGCTTCCAGGACTCCCTGGCATACCTTCTCGAATCTTCCAGATATCTTTTCCAGTCTGAAAAGCATGCTTTTAAGGGGGTCTACAAGTTTGGGGAGTGAGTCAAATTGTAGAAACCTACATCTCAATCCTTCAAAGAACATCCTTGTTTCTTTACGGGGCACTCAGCACCCAATTCATCCAAGGTTCCTTCTCTGTCCCTTGCCTTTTATTAGTCTGCTTAATTCCACCTCCCCACCCTGCATTCCACCTGGAGCCCCTGACCCAGTTACTAAGACCCGGTCGGGGGTCTCGTGGGGGTGGGGATGGAAGGAAGGCGTGTTTTTGTTGGAAATGCCAACAAAATATTGCACGAGATACACTTATCCTAACAAATTATTTGTTGTTTATCTGAAATTCAAATTTAACTGGGCATCCTTATTTTTATTTGCTAAATCTGGCAACTCTAGTTGGAATGCTCAGCCTTGAGCATGCCTGTGCTGGTCAAGAGGGGATCAGAGGCACCAACTGGGGGCTGTAGAATGAAGGACATTAGCATCTCTTAAAGTGCTTCCTTATTCCTAGCACGGTTCTAGGCAGGCACTTTCACAGTAGGGAACTTGAGAACACGGCACTCTGGGATCAGAATGACCTCGGTTCAAATCTCAACTCCACCACGGGTTAGCTGTGTGACCTTACACAAGCGACTGAGCCTCTCTGGGTCTCAGTTGGCTCACTTGTAAAATAGCATCTGGCACACTGTGCTAGGGGTTAAAGGAGATAATACTCCTGAAGCTCTAAGCACAGTACTCAGCACATAGTAATTGCTCGAAAAGTGGTCTCAGGTTTAGTTATACTGGGACAGATCCAGGTTTTGTGGGACCTGAAGCTTATGAAATTTGGGGGACTCTCTTTAAGAAAAGGAAAACAAAGTTATAAATACAAAATTAGACACATAAATGCAAATGAGGGGCCTGAAGCTTACCCCTCTTTAACACCATGGTAAGCCCACCTCTGGCTCTAATCAGTGATGATCAAGCTGCCGGTCAGTATCCATTAGAAGTTTGGTTGTGAAACCAATTTCAATGATCAGGACAAGTCTGTCTTTCTTTCTTTTTTATTTTATTTAGTTAGTTAGATTTTTTTTGTTTTTTTTTAATAAATTTATTTATTTTTTATTTTTATTTTTATTTTTTGTCTGTGCTGGGTCTTCATTGCTGCCCGCGGCTTTCTCTAGTTGCGGTAAGCAGGGGCTACTCTTTGTTGCGGTGCACGGGCTCTAGGCATGTGGGCTTCAGTAGTTGTGGCACGCGGGCTCAGTAGTTGTGGCTCTCAGTAGTATGGCACATGGGTTAGTTGCTCCGCGGTATGTGGGATCTTCCCGGACCAGGGCTCAAACCCGTGTCCCCTGCATTGGCAGGCGGATTCTTAACCACTGCACCACCAGGGAAGTCCCAGTTAGTTAGTTTTTGAGAAATAGAATGGAATAGAAGATTGACTACAGGTAAGTGGAATAAGGGCATGTGTGTCCTGGGTGATGAGGTACAATGGATTTATTCTTTGGATTATAGCCATAAACGTTCAAGAAATACTGCTGTGTATGGGGACACTGTGGCCCTTCAGGATGGGCATCAATATCCCTACTTTCTCTAGGGTTAGAGTTAGAATTAGGATGAGGGTGAGGGGCAAGGAAACAGAGGCTCAAACACGTTAAACAATTTGCCCAAGACATTCTCAGAGCTAATGAGGGAAACAGGTGAACAGCCAGCAAAGCCAGCCCCTCACCCTCACCCCATCACCCAGCCCAGGACATAGTCAAGGTGCTGCTCAGATGCGCAGCCTCTCAGCCCTTCAGGGAGAGGAGACGCGCTCTGGCTCCAAGAGTCACTTGCTGGTCGCACACTGAAGGACTTGCACTGGGCGCCCAAGCTTGAGGCTTCAAGAGACCATCAGGGTCTTAGAGTCAGGGTTAGAGATGTCCTGTCTCCCCTGGGCCCCATGCTCCCTGCCATTGTGTTGGGAGGGCTTGTCCCTTCGGGAAAGCTGCTGTGATGGCATCCTTTCCTGAGTCCCCTACTCGGTGCCACCGTCTGTCCTAGAGCCACACTCCTCATCTCACTGAGTCCTCTGGCGGGGTGTTATCTTTCCCCATCTTGCAGAAGAGGAACCCTTGGATCCCGAGGTAACTGAGCCATGAGACTTTGGCTTTATCCATTCGGCTCCAGAGCCTGGAATCAAGGGTGCATGAACCCACCCTCCCTGCGGGTCCTTGCACAGGAGTCAGAGGGGGGTCCTCCAAGAAATCCGGGCAACTTACTGGTCCCTCCCTCCACAAAGATCCCGCCTCCCCACCCCCTACTCCTGCCTTGGCCAGACAAGCCCACCCTCTCCAGCATCCCAGATCCCAGCAGGCAACTTGGTCTGGAGACAATGCTCAGTCCTAGATGGCTGCTTAGGGAGGGCGGAGCCAGTGGGAGTGGGGGCTGGAGTGGGGTTGGGGGAGGAGCGGGGGTCAGAACTCACGCCCCTGGAGGAGGCTCCAGCGGGGCTGAGTTTCCCAAAGAGAATGAACCCATTCAGAGCCAGGAAGGAAGGGGAAAAAACCTTGTCTGGCATTTGACAAGAGGAGAGGAAGGGGGGCAGGGGTGGGAGCTGCTGATTGCTTCTCCCCTCAACTGCCCCACCAGCAGGGCCTGCCAGGACAGCCAAGGAAAGGGGGTATCTGAGGGACAAAGGCGGGGGTGGAGGTGGG